TGTTCCAGTTTATGCCCATTGCCCCTTGCCCCATTCCCCTATCGCTGGAAACCACTGAAAAGAGTCCGACTCAATCATCCTTCAGCTCACCCTTTAGGAACTTGTAAACATCGATGAGGTCTCCTCAGTCTTCTCTTCTTGAGGCTAAAGAGCCCCAGCTCTTTGAGCTTTTCCTTGTAAGGGAGGTGCTCTAATCCCTTAATAATTTGGTTGCCCTACGTTAGACTCTCTCCAGTAGTTCCCAGTAGTTCACTGTAGTTCCTACAGTGCATGCACAGCTCCGGGCAAACCAAATCAGCTCTTCTGTTATTCAGTAATTCATATGGTCTGGCAGATACTGTCTCTTCCATAAGTAGTGTTATTCTTGTTTTTCCTACTCACTGAAGACAGGCATGAGGAAGACCAGAACTGTTAAAAAATTAAGAGTTCAGCTCAGTAAAGGAGAGAGAAGAGTATGGATGAAACCAGAGAGAGAATAGATAAAGGATACAGGCCAGGTTATTGTTTTGGGCTGGGGGAGGGAAGGGAGTTCACAGCCATGGCCTGAGGGGAAAGTAGGAAGACTTGTTATTACACCAGTGGCTGCTTTTTTTTTTTTTTTTTTAAATTTAACTCCATAATTTGTAAAAAAAATTGCAGGCACTTAAATTACGTAATGACCTCTAAAATGAAGGGGAACAGAAGTGCTGAATCTGTAGAACACATTTCTAGCTGTCAGCCAGATTTTATGCCTGAAATCCATTATCAGCTCAGAGAGGGAAAGTGAAGCCTGCCACGTAGAACTCCTCCTTAAATTTTTTTGGAATCCTAGTTGGGTAAAAGAAGGCAGAAGAGAGAGCTTGTTCCATGCCTTTATCAGGGTACTGCAGTCTCTGCTGCCATAGCAGATTCTGGATCTCCTTGTGCATGTCATGCCAGCAGAAAGGCTGCAGGGAAGGGTCAGGCGGGAGACTCATTCCTCCTCTTCCTCCCCTGTGGTGCCTAGCTCGGAGGCACAGGAGGAAGCATGTGGGCACCAGGGCAGCTTGCTGGTAAAGGCAGCATGTTGACTGGGAACATGGTGGAGAGCAAGATTCAGTACAATCTGCTAATAAAGCAACAAAGTGGCTTAATTTGAACAGGAGCAGGTATGCATGCTTCTGTCACCTGCTGTAACTGGAACCAGAGTGATGGAATAGAAAAGCAATTGGTCTCTTGAAAATAGTTCTGAATGAGTGTTGGAGACTTTAATTTATAATAATCTTAATGGTTTACTTTCTGCTTCTCTGTGGTAACGTGCGACTCTGTATGCCTGTGTGCTTTTTATAATGTGAAGATTTTTCTTGTCTTGAAAGACAGAAAAGCTGCGGGGGAGCTATTAAATTCTGAAAGCTATATTTAGTTTAGAGCAATTAAAGCTAGCACTATATAATGACACTTGTAACTAGCTTATCCATCATGCAAACTATAAGAATTTTTTTTTAATGTTTGGTTTCAGTCAGGCTTGACATCACTGGCAGCTTTTGCTCACACACATCAAACTCTGAATTTGAGAAGGCATGTCAGTTGCAGGCTGTTTCAGGCAAGTCACTTGCTTTCTTACTGTTCCCTTTGACTTTGTTCCTAATTCCATTTTCAGAGTAAACGAGCATAATCCTGTGTTGCTTCCAAAAGGGGTAGTTCTGCTCTACCCTCCTATGCAGCTGCCTGATTTGCTCTTTTTATCTCCGATCTGCTGGCAGCACGTTCATACAGTGAACTGATTCAGCAAATGGTGTGGCTAAAAATCTGGCTTTTTTCCTGGTTAGTTATTAACTGGATTCATTTCCCACTCTCATTTTAGTAGGAGTTGCAGCAGGAATAAATGGCTAACTTTGAGAAGGGAGAGAATTGTCTGGTTCCTCCCCAAGAGTCCTCTTCTGCTTGCTGCAGGTTTACACCAAATTACACTCTATTGCCAGATTAGGTCTTTGTTACACTCCTGGTAGGCTATTCCAGAAATACTTAGAAATGTGTAGCTTCTTTGGGACTAGTACAGTATAAAACAGCTTAATGAACTGTTGTAGAGTTGTTACAAGGTTAATTATTGCATGTTCGTTCTTTTTTTTGTCTTGGGTACCAAATTATTAATTTTCTGTTCTGCATTAAATGAGCATCCCTCTGATGCTCACATTAGCTGTAGTCACCCATTGTGAGACACATTGGAATAGAAGGATAAATTGAACAATAAATATATCAGGCTCTAGAATTTTTCTGGTGTCTGTATGTCTGTACAAGTGTGGATTACTTTTTTTGTGTGTGCCTGTGAAATAAGAAAGTTATAAATCAATGAACATTTCAGTTAAACTGGTCTGGATTTCCCAGATGATTTTAGGAAGTGTGCACCTGTATTGCAAAATATTCAGCAACAGAATATCGTATGGATGCATCCCTATGCTCACTGATCAGACTAGATCACTGCAGCACAGTGGTTTGAAGAGCAATGGGAAACATAGGACCTTCTTTGGACCAGCAAGTTGTGGGGAAAATTTTATTTTTGGGAGGAGGAGGACTGCTGCGTGTGCAAAAATGTGGAGAGATTTTGGAACAGCAAAGGCATCAGTTGCCTTTATGGGGTGACTAAGTGGTTGGTACAAGCCTGAGGTCCCTGACTGACTTCTCAGATACCTTTAGGAACTTCATTCAGATTGAAGGCCCCTATGTTTGGCTTGACCTAGGTGACATAAAGTGGAAAATTCTGGATATTGCTTTGGCTAACTCTTACCTAAATAAAAGATTTAAGAGATTGAGATTGAAATGGTGAAAATAACAGCTCCACTTTCCTATCCTGGAATCTGTGGAGTAGCTGCATAAAGTCCGACCTTGTGGGCTGTGTGGAAAAGCTCAATTACTTACCTTAATTTTTGGATGGTGGTGGATTTTTTTTTTGGTTGCGTGGGGGTTTTTTGTGTATGTGTGTATATTTTGGGGTTTTTAAGTCGTCATGTGTTTTGGAAGTTAGCACAGAACTGCTGATATCCCAGTGTGCCTTGTGAAGGTCGTTTCCTTGTATCTGTCACTCCCTTTGAGGTCCCTCTAGGGTCCCTACTATTTCAATGTGATGTGTAATGTACTCCTGATAACTAATGTCATTGTCTCTAACCTATATAACATGATTCTTTTTCCCTATTTCTCTTACATTGTTCATGTAAATAACACAAAGAATCAAAGGCACTATTTTTCAAATCTAGGTATTTTTATATATTTTTTCAAAAGTTCATCATAAGGTGACTTTGTTGCCTTAGCCATGAGAAGATTTTAGTATATGATTAGTTGGAAGTTTTAAATGTAGAACAGCTTAATTTCTGAGTTACTGGGCACAACGCCAGGCTTAGATTTGGGAAAGTCTGAGTAATAAAATTGTAAAGCTGGTTCATCACTGAAATATGTTATTATTTCAGCTGTGTCTGCCCACCGCAAGCTCCTACAGGCTAAAAATGTCAATAGGCTCTTACATTAGTAGCTATTTTAAGTCTCTAATCTTAAAAGGCAGCACAAATGAAAGAACCCTAGATTAATCTAAAATATCAAAGTTAACATATCAAGTGTTCTTTCTTGCTTTAGCTTTGACAACTTCCACACGTAATATTTGGATTATTCTTAAAAATACACAAGTTCATATATTAAAAAGATCTAATCCTAAAATTAGATCCCAGATGTTCAGACTCCAAACCAAGTGGGGGCGGTGGCATTTTTAGGAATGTAACAAATAGAAGAAGCAAAGAATTAAGTGTAAACATGAAATTAGGAGTTAATAAAAGTAGACAGTTGATAATGGAAGGTAAAAGTATTGCTCACAACTCACTGAGTTGAAAGTAGGGAAAAGGATTTCCTTTTAACTTGGAAAATAAGCTAATTCTTTAGGAGTAATATTAATAAGGGCAGTAATGTAACTAATTCAAGAAATTTGGAAGATTTTAGTTCCATTACTCAAATGAAGCTGTGTGATCTATTGACAGCATATAGAAATAATAACTACAAAAAAAGTTAAATTATAACTACTAAAGCTATTATTTTAAGAAAAACCACACACTACACAGTGGATAAGTTTTGAATGTAGGGTACAAATATCTTGAGGAATTTTTTTTATTGTATTGGTCTTGAAGAAAGGTGAGGAAAGCCTCAGAGCTCTGGAGGAAGCTTAATTATGTGCTAGTTGTTATAAACAGTAAATTATATGTGGTACCCAGACACTGGATTGTCTGCTGTTGATTAGTGACTTTTGGAAAGATTGTCATCAAGCTGATATGGGAACGGACTTGGTGCAACAGAAATTAAAATCTAATAGTTGGAATGAAGAATCATTGAGTCTGTGAATATAGAGACTGAACTATTTATCCTTTTTAACTCAAATTGAGCAAGTTAAACTTTGCCATAAGCCATTTCTTTTTGGTTGTGTTCACGTACAAAGGAATCCTGCAGGCTGCTAAAACTGCAAAATTGGATTGTTTTCAGGAAAAAATGCATTTGACTAAATGTCAAAACTGCATCTTGGTTGCTTCAAAGCAACAATTGAATAGTGATACGAGTTTGTTGAAGAGTGATACCCCCCGGCATCTCTTTGTATGTGGTGATTCTTTCTTTTTTTCGTGCTGACAAGATGTTTGAGCGGGTTCCCTACACCCTCAGTGGAGTTACACACTTGTGCAGAATTCTGCATTTTTGGGGCAAGAAAGATTTCTGTTATAAAATGCACTGCTCCCTTAGTGTGTTAGTCGACTAAAACTTAGCTGCTTATTAGGTGGGAGAATGTTGCTAATCTGAACTTCTAATACGTATCTTTCAGGAGAGGAAGATGTAGCTGTAAATGCTGTATTTTAGGGTAATATTTTTGGGGAGGAAGCCACAAAAAAAGGTAGAAAATTTTCTAGATTTCATATATTGTAATCCTTACCTCCCTTGTGTTTCGCAGGTATTGAAGGACAGTACAGCAGGAAGTTTTATTTTTCGTCTGAATTTTTTTGTGTGTGTTTGTTTTTCAGATCTAACACCAGACTCATGTGAGCCACTTATTGCTCAGACATTCACTACTGTAAAAGAGGAGGAGATTTGAATTCTTCATAGTTGGCACCAAGAGACTACCCCCTCACTGTAAGTCAGTCTCCCTTAGATCATGGATGTGGTGCCCTTCCTGTAGCAAAGCAAAAGTTAAATTGATGTGGGGCCTGTTTCAGCCTAGAGGGGGGACATGATGAAAGAAGCTGGGTAAGAAGCTTTTTGCTATGAAGAATCATTCCATCAGTGGAGAACAGGAGAGGACTGTAGTATAGCTGGCATAGAGCCAGGACTTCAGTCCTCTTTGGAGATAATACATTGTGCTTAATTGTATGTCGAGACGACAAATTGATGGATGTAGCAAGGAAATGGAATAGGTAAACCTGAAGTTGTGCTAATATAGCCTTATAGTCTGCTGAGGTGAGGCTAATTGTTCAAAAACACCTCAAAGCTGTGTTATTCTTGAGGGAGCTTGGAAAAGTACAATTTGTTGGGTTGTACTGTGTTTGGGTTACCTTTAATCTTAGATTTTGGGGTTTCCACTGGTCACCTACCGTGTCAGGAAGGGACTTTCTCACCCATTGAGCCATCAAACTCTTTGTGGCTTGTGTCTCACTTTGAAACGCAGCCAAAGTGCAGCCAGAGATAGGACTTTGGCAAGGTTGAGATTATATTACCTGTGATACTGAAAAACTTCTGGTGTTACTGGTGGGTGTGTTTTCTGCCTGAGTGTTCACTAATTGTGAGATTTATTACTAGAAGGAAATTCTGTCCCAAGTCATATTGCCAGTCATGGCACTTACGGTGTTTTAACTTCTCTGATAGCATGTGAATGTACTGACAGTACATCTGAATACTTAACAGTTTCACTTTTGGGGTCACGCTGTTGATAATGCACTTGAGCTTCCTGGATAGATGTTTATTAACTTTTTTTTTTATTGTATATATATATTGTTGGCCTTTTTAACCTATGGGTATTAAATTAGTATCATAGGGCACATAGGACAGGTAGGATGTTGTAGGTCTTGCATGCATATAACTTGCAGTTGCAGAAGGCTGGATGTTGTGAACCGTGTGGTTCTTACAGTGCTGTGATTGTATGCAAACTAATGTTGTGAAATTAGCACTAACAGTCTTACATGGATCTTTTACCTGTAAAGCAGAATATAGCGCTACTGTTCTGCATTCATTTCCCATTATACTTGCATCTCTGTTTGTGTAGGCTTAGTCATTGCTTTAATTCTTTTAGGTTATTCTTTTAGGTGAATTCGTTTAGGTTAAATCTCTTGCAGTTTTTATTGTGAGCATGTAAAAGGTATTGCCAGCTTCATATGGCCCAGTAGGACTTACTTTGCTACAGAAAGCTGGAGATAGGTCATGAAAACTGAAGTGTGTTGCGGGCACAAGGCATGAATCCTTGTTAGATGTGGTTGCTATAAATCACATTAACATCCGTATGTGTTTTCAGCTTCTACAAATTAGAAGGTGAAAAAGAGTTGGAGGAGAGCAAGGAGTGGAAAATTCTGGTACTTGGTTTATTTGTGTTGGTAGGTACGGCCATACTGCTACAATGGGCTCTCTGTGGGAGGTGCCCAGTAGCTACAGGATCCTTTTACCTGTACAGATAGCAGAGTTTATCAAACACTGTTACAAAATTGTTAGCTGATTATGCTGAGAAGTTTTCTGTTTAAGTAGCAACGCAAAGGTTCCTGATTATCTAATGACTTCCAAAAAGTTTCAGTGTACTTGGCAGAAATAAATACAGAGCTGCCCCACCTCAGTGTGCAACATGAGGCTGTTTTATTTACAGAGGGGGTTCCTGTGGAACAGGTATGTTGGTGACTTCACACGGAGTCATGCAGGAAACCTGTGGAAAAAGTCGGGGCAAGTCACTCCGCTTATCCTAATCTTTCAGTGCAGGAATGTTCTCCAGTTAAAGACAATTTTGATACTTTCTAAAAGGAAGGGTGGTAGATCTACAGGGATACAAAACTAACAGAGTTTGGATAGTTAGAAAAAAGCAATTTTTGCGTCTTTAATAGCTGTGGCAGAAGGTTGCAATGAGAACTAGTATTTATCATAACAATAATATTTTTGTTTTCCTACTGACGTAGTGCCATCCTGTTGGCATATGTTCCTGAAATGCATTAGTACTTTGAAACACCCTTCTTTAAAGATATATTAAATGTCACGTTGACACACGGTGTGATTTCACTGAATAGCTCTGTGTCTTTGAAAAGAAACAGCTTAAAGTGAAGGTTTCTTAAAGTCATTTTTACAAAGTTGAAAACTGAATCTATGGCTGTTACAGAAGCAGTTTCCATATGTTACTGAGCCTTTAGAGGAATTCTTTAATGCTTTCTTAAACATAGGAAAATTTAGTGAAGGAAGCAATCTTCATTTCTCAGTCCTCGTAAATTTTATTTAAGGAACTTAATGGAACCCCTGTGTATTCCTTTGGTATTTTCTCTCAATTTTGCCAACCTAAAATTCCAAGCTTAATTCTTCAGTACAAATGTGAACATTGTTTTTTGTTTGTATCTCACTTGGTCCACTGACATAGTAAATCTTGTAAAAGGTATTGAATTCTACTTTGTAAGCTGAATATTGACAGAAATATTAAAAATATTGTCAGCCAGACATTGTCTGCTGGCTCTTTACTAACTGTCTATATGAGAAACTCTTTGTACAGAGCTAAATTCTGTACTAAAATATGTCATTTAGTACTTCCTTTGAAGGAAAATGAGGTCAAATCTTAGTGCGCATGTACCTGTAAATGCAAAAATAACCGGTGTGCACAACCCTTACTCTTCTTTGTGTACAAGCTCATGTCTGTGAATTTAAGCTACTTCTCTCAGATGAGTTCCAAAGTGTTTCTTGTGGCTTTAGTTAGTGCAAGTATTCATAACTTATTCAATGGATAGTAGTATAGATAGATGTTCCTGCAAAAAGAAAAGTGGAGAAAGGGAGAAAAAGGGATGTTTGTTATCTTACTGTCTTAATAGTTGCTATTGAAAGAAATTAATTTTGTATTGTTGTTTAAGACTAAAATAAACTGCACATCTGAGCACCGTGGATGACATCTATGGAAGGCAGAGGTGCAGAAGCAGGATAAATTTATCTCATAAGAGCATAATTTATAATTTCTAGTTTTAGTCATAGGTACTTTGGTCTTAAAACAGATAAATAGTTCCTCTGTCTAGTCAGGTATTGAAACAGCTGGGCTGCTGATTTAGTGTGATTATGTAATAAAGTCATTTTTAGAATTTGTCCGTAGAAATTAAACGGTTGTGAAATTATAGAAAGGTGGATCAAATGTAAAGCCACAGTTTCATTAATACAGCATTGTAAACCAATAACAGCTTAAATGCATCTTTTACAACAAGTTGTAAATGCCAAACGTGTCAGAATGGTGCTGGCCTTGAAGTGGTGTGACAAGGATGTCAACTCCTTGGTCCTGTGGTGTCAAGGCCACGGACTGTTCTCCCTGGAATAGTGACACAATATGTCTCGGACATGAAAATTCAGATCTTAATAGTTACGGCTTCTTACCTTGCGAGAGGCTATGGACTTAAGTGCTTGAAATAGGCAATTAGCATAGTCAAAAGTAACTTACAAGAGAAAATCATGAAACTCGTCTCCTGTTATTCAGACCTTTGATTCCTTATGCTTATATGCAGAGAAAAGAAGCAGCAGCTGCCACCATGTGTCTCGTTCCAGAGAAAATCAGGTTTGTCACCCTTCATTTTAGCAACAGGAGGAAATTGCCTTCTTCCTGGCATTATAAGGGGGATTTTACATAGTGAGATTCTGTGTTTTGCTTCCAGAAAGTGATACAGGTATTGCAGAGTCTTACCACTGAAAATATTTTCATTGTGCACACAATGAGCAAAAGCACTGACTTTTCATCTGAAGGTCATGAACTCAGTCAGTCCTTTGACATGTATCAGTTTTGTACTTGGAAGCCATGAAAACTTGCCCCTTGTTTTAAGAGTAGCTCAAAGATACCATCTCTGTCTTTCAGTATGTGTTTGAACATGTGTTTCCATCAGCCTTATCTTTTTTAGACAGACTTGGTAACTTTCCTGTTTGCTTATGTGAGCTCTCATTAACGTGCTTATTTGTTCACCAGGTGAAGAATAAAAATAATGCTTCACATACATCAGAAGGCAGAAGATTATTTTACTTTTGAAGGGTGACCTTAGAAATGTAGTTCTGAAGAGCAAGTGTTATATAGCTTCATGACCTCCTGCTTTCCAGTTGTGCACAGCAAAGGTTTTGCGTGAGAGGGGAAGAAATGGTTGCAGTTGTTGGTGGCCTCTTTTAGCACTTAGGTAATAAGGATGTGGGACTGAATCTCTGATCCTGGCATGTGTAATAGTGAATAAGTTATGGGTTTTGGCTTCTAGTGACTCCTTTGCTCATTCTCTGATTCCAAGTTTTAATGCCTTATACTCCCATTTACTTTTGGGAAAAGGTCGTATCCTCATTTTAATTCATATGGCAAGTTCTTGTAGCGGTACATATTTGAAGAAGTGAAAATTGCATTGTTCCTTTAGGTTTGAAGAATATTCCTACACTAAGAGAAAAGTATGATTATCCAAGTAGGTGCTTTTCAAGGAGAAATAGAGATTACTTTAAAGACTTAGTAAAATGTTAACACTGTAATTTTAAGCCACCTGTGTAAAGTTCACAATTGGTGTGCTTCTGTACTACTGTGTTTTAATCTCTTTTTATCCTCACATGTTGGTTCAGGCATGTAATCTGTTGTAAATTTTTTGTTGTTGTTCCACATCTTGTCAAAGCATATATGAAGGATGAAAAAAGGTCAAATCTGTTCGGTTGATAGTTATTAGTAATGATAAATGAACAGAAATGTATTTATGAAAATGTAAGATGCTTGCAATATGTGTTTAATGAGTTCTTAAACTTACTGAATATGGCACACACTTATGAAAGAAAACATCTACTGAGGAGACACATGCTTTTTAGTTACAAAACCACTGCAAGAACTTCTGAGAAGAAAAATACATTCTCCCATCAACTCAAGTTATGTTGAAAGAACATTAAGATTCTGGCAGAAAACCAGGCAAAGT